ATGGTGAAACCCCGTCTCTATAAAACTACAAAAAATTAGCTGGGCATGGTGGTGCGTGCCTGTAATCCCAGCTACTCAGGAGGCTGAGGCAGAAGAATTGCCTGAACCCAGGAGGCGGAGGTTGCGGTGAGCCGAGATCGTGCCATTGCACTCCAGCCTGGGTAACAAGAGCGAAACTCCGTCTCAAAAAAAAAAAAAAAAAAAAAAAAAAAACAAAGCTGGCACTTTTAATATTGCTAATAATTTTGATATAATTTTGAAACAATTATATGTATTCTATATGATAAAGCAAGAATGTACTATTATTAAAGGCCAAAATTTCTATTGTATACAAAATGATGTAAAATATTAAGATATTAATTAAAAAATTTAAACCTCAAATTTTAATTGATAACATGAATATGGCTGGGTGCTGGGGCTCACACTTGTAATCACAGCACTTTGGGAGACTGAGGTGAATGGATCCTAGCTCTTTTGAAGTCAAAAGTTTGAGCCCAGCCTGGACAACACAGACTCCATCTCTACAAAAAAAAATTAGATGTGGTTGCACATGCCTGTAGCCCCAGCTACTCTGGAGTCTGACAGGGGAGGATTGCTTGAGCCCAGTAGTTGTAGGCTGCAGTAAGCTATGATCACACCAATAGACTCCAACTGTGATGACAGAGCAAAACCTCATCTCAAAAAAAAGAAAACATAAATACAAGTTTATGATTTTCTAGCTCTAGCCACAAAAGACTCTGGAAGTAACAACACCTCAATAGCAGTGAACACACAGAACATACAACTCTTGGTTTCTTGCTACCATTCCCCACTAAAAGGTAACAGGACTTCTTAGAAAAATTTTTGATTCCAGGCATGAGACAAAGTACAGGGTGAGCAAGACAAATCTTGTGGCAAAAAGTAAAGAAATGCTCAAAGATTAATGGTGTCATTAAAAGACATGGGAGCCAACTTCCTGCCAGCCAAATGTAGGATAATTTGTACATCTAACAGAATAATCAATGTAATTAAATATACTGATTTTTCTGAAAAATCAGGAAAAAAAATACTTGTTCTTTTAAAAATGCCAAATAATGTATATATAGAAGGAATGATAGAATTAGAAGATCACCATCCTGCAACCTCGAGTGCAATGATGGATTCAGGCAAGGGTCAACAATGGAAGTGAAAAGCAATCAGTACAAGGTTGTTGGGGAACAGGATACTCATACGCTGAAAAAGTATAATCCCACAGATCTACCGATTCCAGTGGAGAAACATGGTGGTCACCAACTTAACTAGTGATCAAACTTAGCATCATTAATAGTGGGATAGCCTTAACATCTGGGTTCCTCATATGATGTATCACCTACAAAGCATCCTTGCAAAAAAATGTTTATCTGAATTTACTCAACCCTTTCAACCTAACTCAGCTTTTCAGAAATAATAAATGATATTATCAAGAATCAGACAAATCTAGAATCTATAAAACTGGCATGGATTCTTCCACAAAAACCAAGGCATGACAGATCCAGAATGTGACACATTCTACAACAGAATTGGCATAAACTCTAAAAAATTCAGTGTCATGAAAAATAATTTTTTTTAATGCAGGAGTACTATTCTATATTAGAAGACACAAAGGAGACATATTGACCAAACAGTGTGTAAACTCAGACTGGGGTGAGAGAGGTGGAGTTATAAGAGATTTTTTTGAACAACTGGAGAAATTAGAGTATGGACTGTGTATTGGATATTACTGAATTAATATGAAGTTTTTTATATGAAGTAATAGCATTGTCATAATTTAGGAGAATGTCTCTAATTAGGAGATACTTGCTAACATAGGAGTATCATGATGTCTGCAACTTACTTTGAAATGCTTCATCAAAAACGGAGAGAAAGCAAAAGTGGCAAAATTGTTGAATCTAAGTGGAAGGTTTACGGATATTAAAAATCTTGACCATAAGATATAATTGTCATGAAGGATGACAGATCACCCATTGTTCATGTTATTTTCACAGTTCTAGGGTCCTCATGGAGGCGCCTTAAGTACTACCTACCTCTGCTTTTATTGGGTTCATACACTGAGACTTCACCTAAGATTTTATTGAAAAAAAGGGTTTCACTGCAAAAAAGTATTGAAATCAATTCTCTGACCAGGGTCTGGCAATACACAGCAGGCATCCACAGGGCCTGCTGGGGATATTGCTGGTCAACCAGAACATTCATTCATTCTTACTCAATCTGAACTTGGCATCTCATCACAATGTGCCAGTCAGCCACTACCAGTTAGTAGTAATTGGTACTTGGAGTGAGACTTAATTGTTATCTCAGAAATAGACCATCATAGAGCTGCGTATTTGAATCACACTGTTTTGGTGCCTCATAGAATTGTTCTCATTCAATCAGGCATCAGTTTTATTCAACCCGTTTTACATTTTAAAAAACAGTTGTATAAAAGTTGATGTTGAATTTACTGTGAGGATGATGTTGAGGATATTCTCCAGTACTTGATCCACAAGAGAAATCTCTCAGGAGTCAGTCTCAGTATTGTGATGAGCTGTGAGCCTCCTTATCAAATGGATTTATGGACATTATGAGTCTTGTAGCTGATGTTTACTTCTTGCTTTGTCTACTAGGAAACTCAGGGACAAATTGGTAATCTCATGTTAAACATTTTTGTGACCTAGCAGTACCTCTGTATTATCTTATTTCTCCTGCCATTCTTTTGTCTTTATCCATTCTTCTTTGTCTATTTACTTTATCTGAAGGTATGGTCTATATCTTTGTAGGGCACTTTGAATCTTTTTGAATTATTATGTGCTTAACTGCATAAATAAACAGAGTGTTGGCAGTTCAAATAGAGAGTAAAAAAAAATTTGCAAAGAGAAGAAAATATAGGTCTTACTGGAAGACTTGTTATTGTGGATCAAAGATCTCTGGCTTTACTCAGAAAGTGGTAGAACCAAAAACAAAAATGAAGGAAAGAGAAAGAGAATTACTTACATATGATGCATTAGATTTTAGAGAAGCTGATTTTTCAGTTAGATATTCAAGTGGAGATTTTTTTTTTTTTTTTTTGAGACAGAGTCTCACTCTGTCACCCAGGCTAGAGTGCAGTGGCGCAATCTCAACTCACTGCAACCTCTACCACCCCGGTTAAAGCCATTTTTCTGCCTCAACCTCCCAAGTAGTTGGGATTACAGGCACCTGCCACCATGCCCGGCCAAGTTTTGTAGTTTTAGTAGAGACAGGGTTTCACCATCTTGGCCAGGCTGGTCTTGAACTCCTGACCTCATGATCTACCCACCTCAGCCTCCCAAAATGCTGGGATTACGGGTGTGAGCCACCATGCCCAGCCTCAAGTAGAGATTTTTTAGGCCACTGGGAGTATGTTCTAGAACTTGAGTCAAAGACCCAGGTTGGTAATGTTGATTTGGGCATTATCAACATTGAACTAAGTTGAAACCAAGAAGGGTAAAAATATTCCCTGATGAGGTACAGAGACAAAAGACCCTGTAAGCATTAAGTTGTGTGGATAAAGCTAGAATTAGGAGTTTGGAAGAGAAACAGAGTATCTTTGATAATGAAAAGATTCCTCAGGGATCTAGAAATAGAAATACCATTTGACCCAGCAATCCCATTACTGGGTATATACTCAAAGGATTATAAATCATTCTATTATAAAGACACATGCACATGTATGTTTATTGTGGCACTGTTCACAATAGCAAACACTTAGAACCAACCCAAATGTCCATTAACAATAGACTGGATAAAGAAAATGTGTCACATATACACCGTGGAATACTATACAGCCATAAAAAAGGATGAGTTGATGTCCTTTGCAGGGTCACAGATGAAACTGGAAACCATCATTCTCAGCAAACTGACACAAGAACAGAAAACCAAACGCCATATGTTCTTACTGATAAGTGGGTGTTGAACAATGAGAACACATGGACACAGGGAAGGGAACATCACACAACAGGGCCTGGGGAGTGAGGGGCTAGCGGAGGAATAGCAGGGAGTCAGGGGATTGGGGAGGGATAACATTAGGAAAAATACCTAATGTATACCTAATGTAGACGACAGGGTGATGGATGCAGCAAACCACCATCATGGCACATGTATACCTATGTAACAAACCTGCACTATCTGCACATGTACCCCAGAACTTAAAGTATAATAAATAAATTTTTTTAAAAAAAGAAAATTAGTCAAGGAAAAAAAAGAATCATAATATTTCTAGAGAAGCCAAGGAAAAATATAATTTCAAAGAGCAATATCAATAATGTTTAAAAATTAAAGATGCCAAAATAATTATTTTTATTTGAGAGCAGGATCTTGCTCTGATACCTAGTTTGGCCTCAAACTCCTGGGCTCAAGCAATCCTTCCATCTCAGTCTCTCAATAGCTGGGACTACAGGCGTGAATCATCACATTCACCTGCCCAAGGTAATTATGGTAAACAAGAAAAGGGTCGCTGACTTTATCAAGGAAGCACTGTTGACCTGTGAATAGTGGGGCAGAGCAACATGGTCCTGATCTCAGGAGCCTCCGCATGGCTCTCTGTAGAGAGCTATCAAATCCAATTTTAAAGCCACATCTTTGAATTTCTATTAGCTTGTTTCACAAAGTAAATATATGTCTTTAGTGTTCTACTATCAGATTGGAATCAAATATTGTAATCGCTGACACAAGAATCTTAATGCCTCAATAATTATGGTAATAGTAGTAGAATCTAGAATCTACTAATTACCATAAAAAGTCTAATTCTGGGTAAAAAAAAAAAAAAGTTACAGGAAGGAATAAAAATGGATTTTATATAGGACCATGACGGCACTTATTCCCACCATTCAGAAACTGCATTCCAGCAGAAGGCTTACCTTCTCTATTTTGAAGTGTGCGCAGGTCTGATTAAATTGGGTCGCCACCGTGTTGTACTCAGGATCACTAGGCTTTAGCTCCACCACACAGAAATTCTGCTGCTTCATATCACTCCAGCATGCAGGGATGTCAACTGCAAAGTAGACATTTGAGGACACCCTCATACATTCCTGGTACACTCTGAAAAATTTAGTATCTGTGTTCTTGTTTTACTATCTTCCAATTCTAAGCATTCAATAAGTTCCCTATCTTTCTAGGAGAATACTTTTCAAAGTGTGGACAACAGATAACCAATATCAGAACCCAATGAAATGCTTGTTAAACAAAAAAAAAGAAAAGCCACAGATCTACTGAATCAGCATCTCTGAGAGGCAGAGCCTGTGTGTCTGCCTCTGAAATTTGGATCATACTACGATTTGAGAACTGTGGGTGCAGTATAACTCATCTGTTTTCTGTTCAGTCTCTAAGGGTCACAATTTAACAGTAAGTTATTTCCCTACAGTGTTCTAAGTAGTTGCTGTTTTGTTTATACATGGAATTTTGCCAGAACTCCCCAGCATCCCCACCACAGGGACTTCACATCTATTTTTTCATTATTCTTCATAGCGTCTTTAAGAGGCAGTTGGGTGGCGAATTTTGCTATGTGACAGGCTATGGTGACAGTTCTGTCTTCTCCTCTGCTAAGCAGAATACTATATGTGATTTATCACTTCCCCAAGGTTGCTCAGAGTCTGATGAATCTATTCACACTGATCTCACAAAAAATAAATAAAGTGTAATGGAACAAGTAAAGTGTAATTTACTTGTTTTTCAAGGGAGACTTAATCTGGTTTGAAGGTGGGGATGGCTGCCTACATAACAGCATTGCCTCCTTGGAGAATAGATCCAGTCAGAGAATCTGAAGCCTGCTTCCTGTCATGTGTGTCAATGAACCTTTTGCTCCAGGCAGTAGTGACTTCTGAGAGAAGTTCCTATAGGCTCCCGACCCTCCCCGGGTTATCAGTCAGACACAGAGAGGGACCACCCTCTGACCAGGCTTTCCTTTCTGTTTTTCCCTTTGCCCTTTTGTTCTAGAAAACCTTGGTTCATCACTTTTCCTTTAAGCCTATGGTTTTCCTTCCCCTAATTGATGCAGCTATTACCTCCCCGGCACAACTGGCTCTGGGAAGCTTATAAACTGTAGAGAACAAAGGTAAGGTTTAGCTATAGTTACCAAGAAGATGGTCATCTTCAGGCTTTTGGGTACATCCATTCTGGGTTTTCCTGGCCATAACACAAGCTCTTTAAGCTCAGAGACCACATTTTCTAGTTTATTTCACTAGTGTTACATTAATTTTTTTTCTATTTGAAATTCTGATGTATGTACAAAATAGTGTTATACCCAAAGTAAGTACGAAACAGTAGATGACAAGTATGAACATTTAACTCACCTTTGGATTTTGTGAGGCGCTGAACAGATAAACTGTGAAGATTTCCACATGTGGCAGTGTATGTTTTCAAGTTCACTGTGTAGTACTGATCATTAATTTTGATATCAGTTGTTTCTTTCTTTTCTCTCCTTGCATCCTCTAATTTCAGGTTGGTTATTTTGTCAAAACGATAAAAAGTGTTATTGTCATTATACTGCCATTCTATAAACTCACTGATACAATCTGCCCGGTATTCCTGTTCTTTGGCCAATCGAACTCTCTTGATCATTGCCTCAATTTCATCTCTGGCCTGCATCACATCTCTGCTAATTCCCAAAACCTTAATCAAAGGTCTCTTATGGTCCAGGGAAATGGTAATATTTAACTTCTTCTGCAGCTCATTCAACTCCTGATACTCCTTTTCATCAAAGTCTTTGATGCACTCATCTTTACTGGTGTAAGGCCACTGTTCTTTTTCAATCAGGTCTTGTAGCCAGGAGATAGTGTGTTCCACACACGTGACATTTTCACCACACACCTGAAAAGTTGCTGATTCTGTTTTCTTTTCCAAAACCAAAGGATTCTTTTCTGGCGGAGATTGCTTTGAAAAGCCAAAAAATGCTAAAAAGAAAAGGAAGATTAGATTATTTCCCATGTGACATCAATGTTTGGAACATGCATTTCATAAAAACAACTCACATGCAATTTTAGCCATCACAGATGGTTGGGAAGACATCTGAGTCCCTTCTCTTTTTTTCATGTTTGCATAAAACACAGCCAGTATTTGAGGCAGAAAGATTACAACTTTAACTTTTTTCACAGACTGGGCAGATCCTTTTTGGACAAAGTCTTCAATGGCATCAATTATGGCTTCAGCAACCTTATCTGGGTCTTGTTTGGCACTTCCTGGAAAATCAAATAATAAAATTGCTGAACAACAAAAAAGACCAAAGTGGAAGGCTGAGGAATAAATTAGGGTTTCCAATGCTCAGAAAATAAATGCCCACTCCTCAATTCTTCCATCATTGTGGAATTTTCTAACAAAGCATCAGCAAACACTTTTGAAGTCCTAGATGGCAGTGAAGGGTTTTTGTTCCAGGATGTCAGGAAGCCCACAGCCTAGCAATGAACAAAGGACCCAGAAACCTGACTTTTGGTGTCTGACATTCATATCTACCCTATTCGACTGACCCCAGCTCATTGTGTTCCTCCTCTCCTATTACAGAGCACAAGTAGTTTTTCTTCTTAGCTCACTAGTGTCCTCAAAAAATTCATAAAAAGCAGATGCTAATATATGTTGACTTAACATATGTTTTAAAGATGAAAATATTTTTATGGATCAGTCATCACTTGATTTTACACATGTATCCTTATTCTCCCAGGTATCTCTAGGAACTTGATTTGAACTAAGCAAAATTTAGTAAGACAACCGGTGCTATAGGCTATTTGTTATCATCTATAATTTTTTAGACACAAGTTATCTATCAGCCTCCAAGAAGTCTTTTCCTCCATACTCAGTGAGATTTTAGCTGACCAGCAGGGTTCAAGGTAGCCACCTGGGGCAGAGCATTTCCTGTTTTCAGTATATTCCATACCCTCCTTCTCAAGTCATGAAAGTGACAGCCTAGGTAAGATCATGAAAAGTTCCTTTCCAGCCATGGGAACAGTCCCAGATGAATAACAGCTGGCAAAGTCACATGATGGGCAATGTAAAAGTTCCTTGGCCAAGGTGGTATGACAGACGAAAAGCCCACCTGGCTAACTGTTGTTGATGGTTCCCACCACTATTGCAGAAAAAGAATAGGCTTCGTTGACTTGGTTATGCAGACAATTGTGGGAATGTAGACAAACCCCACATAAAGTTAACCAAGGAGGCTTGTTTGGTTTTTTTTAATCAGATGATCAGAGAAAGAGGGAAATTTACAGCTTTTGCAAAACTGTAATTTTCCCATGGCATTTGGAAGAGTTTATACGGACACAGTTACATTCATTCACTCTCCATAAACATCTACCGTGTCCTATCACTGGCTCAGTACTCATTAGGTACTTATTAGAACACAGATCATGTGATATGTGTGGATGTGATATGATTGGAAGACTGGAGTTTATTGAACTTAAGTGTAAACATTGTTTGATGATTTAGTTAGTGATCAATAGGTGAAATATGGAAAATTGAGGGAAAGGTTATGCCAAATGTAATGGGCATATGTTCTGTGTGGCATGGATGTGGAATAGACCTAGTTTTGAGGAAGATAAATCCGGAGTGGTGTGGAGGAGGCATGGAGTAGAGAGCCCAGGTCTAGTTAGGAGGCTATAATAAAAGTTTAATCAAAAGCCAAGAGCTGAACAAAAAGAGGAGGCCAGAATGAAGAGCAGGGTATAGGGATTGAGGAACTATTTGGGAGGTAAAATCAGGAGGCCCCAGGGACCAGCTGGGTTTGTCCTTGGCCTTTCCCTATACCTCTTTTGCCATATATATACCTTCACTATATTATGGTTCATGTTATAGTACTTCCACACATCCAGTACTTGAGGCAGAAGGACAACAACTTTAACTTTTTTCACAGACTGGGCTGACCCTTTCTGGACAAAGTCTTCAGTGGCATCAGTTATGGCGTCAGCAACCTTATCTGGGTCTTGACTTTTCCCTCTCCTTCTTTTGCATTCACATACCTTCACTATATCACGGTTCATGTTGCATTGCAGTTGTTTCTTTGCATGCCTGTCTCTCACACTGGGCTCAGTGCTCCTTGTGAAATGGATCCTTTTCTTAGTTATCTTTCTATCTCCAGTGCCTAAACATGGTGCCTTGCGGATGCAGGAACTCAGTAAATATTCAACCAAATAATTCCTAAGCTAATGAAGATAGGAGTGATGAAGAAGGTAGAGTCGAGGACGCTAAAGGCCAAGTGATGCTTTTCACATGATTGGGGATATAACAGTAAGGGCAGGTTTGGGGAGATGACAAGGAATGGGAGTTTGGAGTCTGTGCTGAGCTTAAGGTGCTCACAGGTATTGCTGACCACCTACTCTCTCCCCTTATGCAGGTGTCTTGAAGGAACAGGGAAGGAACAGGGAGAAGGCTCCTTTAACTTCCAGAGGCTGTCTTGATTGCAGTCTTAATTCAACTTATATACACCACTAAAGGAGAAAGCTTCCAGATCTGTCAGTCTCAGGACCAGCTCAGGTGGTGATAAAGATAGGTAAAGAGGACATGCAATGACTATATAGAAGTCCATAAAAGACACCCACTAATCGTGATTTATCTGTGCAGACCAGCAATGCAATCAGGTCAGTGGAAGAAACAACAGGATTGCAGTAGCCCAGAAATGCTCAAATGTGTACCTATTTATACAAAACTAAAGCTACATTCTTTCCTTGTTTCTTCTTTTGACTCCACCAGGGACTCCTTCAGGAAGGTCTGTAGCACCCTCTAGGCTGCCTGCTTTCTTGGCCCAATCAATCGGACGCGGAAACCCAGACTAGAGCTTGGAGAAAAAGCAGATGGAGACAGAGACTGGGAAGTCATCGGTGGGTGTCCATAAAAGATAAGTAGAGAGATGACAGACAGACAGATAGATAGATAACTGATAGAGTGAGAGAAAGGAAAAAAGTTAGCTAATCTGCTAGGAATAGATGATACTCTAAGGGGAATAAACAAATAAAGGGATCAAAAATTACACTTTAAGAAATAGAAAAGTTGTAAAATAGATATAGAATTCCATCATAGAACATTATAAAGAATGGTACAGAATTACAGGCATGGATCAGAGGATTAGAAGAAGGCTCAGAAATTGACAAGGATGGTTAAGTTTATTGAGGCTAAACTTTGGGAAAGCCTAGAATGCCAGCCTAAGATTCAAACTTAGATTCCCAAGCAAAGGAATGACAGATCCAAGGCTGAGTATTCTTGCACTGGAACCAGGCAGCTCCATTCACTTCAAGCTTAAGAATGCATACCTCCCCTGACCAGCTCTCTTGAGGAGACCAAGCAGGAATTCCTAAAGAGCTCAAAGAACACCACCTAACTAATGATAAACCCAGAGCACTATCCTTATATATGAAAAATCATGCTATCATTACATAGTCTGAGAAAAAAAAGAAAAAGCAAGTAGGCTGGAAAGAGGAAAGTGGATAGCTGAGTTTCTGACCCACTAGGTTCTGGTGACTGAGAACCTTCTACACAGAAATGCCCTGAAGCCAAGTGACACAGCTGACTGTTGAGCTGAGGCCTGAAAATATTCCTCTGGGAGTCAGCTAGAGTGAGGTGGAAGTTGATGTACTAATATTCTCCTTGGAGAGGGGACAGAGGAGGATGCTAAGGACGGCATAATGGAGAGTATGTAGGGAATGGATAAAGGGGAGGTAGCTGAGCAAAGAGAATGAGGAATGGCCCTTCCATTCTCTCCCTTCTCTTCTCGGCCGTACTTTCCCTTTCCTTCTTTCTGTCTAACATTCTAACACTCTTCAGTTTTCCTGCATTTTGTTCCTCTTTTACTCAAACTATCCACAGGCTTTGTCATTCCGTTGGGAGTTGCCTTACAGGGAGGAAGCTGTCTACTCCTAGCTTAACGGCTGCTGCCCTGGCTCAGACTCAGCACTGACCACATTCACACTCAGCTCCAAATCGGAGGGAAAGTAGACACCTTAGGATTTAGCCTTGACAGCCAGAGGCTACAAACCTGTCCCAATGGCTGGGAGGCAAATGGATGAGTAATTTCGTTTTTCACACTCCTGTAAAACACTGGAAACCGATCTCTTGACATCATTTCCACCAATTACATGAATGATATTCTTGCACCTCAACAATCCACCTCCGGTGATTACATAATCATGTTTGCGCTGCTGAGCTGGGAAACACAGACAAAAAGATGCACAATTGGTATATGTTGAACCCATCATTTGTTTAGAAAGCAAAATGTGTAACTTGGCAAGCAAGCATTTTGTGAATTAAAAAAAAAACTACTGAAATACTATCTTTGATGGAATGTTATGACTTAACTTCACTTTTTAACTGTGAGATTACTTTTCACTTCTAAGTCTCTGTGGTTGGAATTCTTTAGTAAAATGTATAATTTAAAAATTACAGTGTTGTCTCCCGAATCCCAAGACTTTTCTCAGCCTCTCCACAACCTCCCACACAATTACAACTTAGGACCAAAAAAATGAATGCACCTTACCTTCCTGAGAACATTCCATTTCTACATTTTGTCCAGCACATTCCAAAATTGCTTTGGAGACCCCTACATGAGAAAATCAAGATGATAACAAACATGAGTAAAAAGCTACTATGGTATATTTGGATCAGAAATATTATCTAAATCCATTCTCCATCATCAAAGGAATCCTCTAATTCAGTATTGCTGATGACAAAGAAGAAAATTTCATAAAATAAACATTATTAATTATGGGAAACCCTGTTAACATAATTTAAAAGTTATTAATATTAACAAGCCAAAGTTACAAAAAACAGTTTGGCTATAGAAACCCCCCTTCAGAGTATCTACTGTTAACTATTGCACTCATCAAAATTGTACACGTACCTGCTTTGAGATTAAATGAGTTTGATGTTGAATTTACAATCACATCTGCCTCTTCTTTGGTGATATCTCCAGAAGCCACCTGGAAGATGATAGGACCAATCTTCATTTCATGCACACCTAAATTAGGGATAGAAATAGTCCCATAAAAACCTGAAAAGAAATGAAGTGAAGTCAATAACCCAGTCAGCCATAGCAAGAGTGACTTAGGTCTCCTGCTCACATGTGGCCCTCTTGTATGTCTTCCCTCTCTCTCTCTTTCTGTGACCTCCGGTTTTTAACCTGGCCCTGCCCCTCAACCCCAGTGATGATCTGTTTAAGAAAAAATAATTAGAAAACAGAATCCATACCAAACATGAACTCTGGTGCTGGCCAAGGTGAAGTTAGCCCACTATAGCCTATCTCTCTTTGATTACAACTAAAAACAGGACAAATATAAAAAGCCACTAACCAAGAGGTTGAAAAGTTAAAATAACAGCAGACAGATTGAAGAAAGAAGCCTACACCTGAAGAAGAAATCTGCACAGGGCAGTGGTTTTCCATTTTGTTCTGTTTTAAAATTTTTCCTCTTTTCTCTCCCAGCTTTGACCCAAGGGTGGCCCTAGTCTCATAACATAATATTTAAAATGTCCAGTCTATATTCCTAAATTGCTTGTCATATAAAGAACCAGGAAAATTTGACCAACCCTTAAGGATAAAGAAAATCAACAGATGTCAATCCAGCCAGGCACAATGGCTCACGCCTGTAATCCCAGCAATTTGGGAGGTCGAGGTGGGAGGATCACTTGAGTCCAGGAGTTCGAGATCAGCCTGAAAATGTGGTGAAACCCCAACTCTACAAATAATACAAATATTAGCTGGGCATGGTGGCACACAACTGTAGTCCCAGCTACTTGGGAGGCTGAGGTAGAAGGATCACCTGAGCCCCCAGAGATTGAGGCTGCAGTGAGCTGAGATTGTACCACTGCACTCCAGCTTGGGTGACAGAGTGAGACCCTGTCTCAAAAACAAATAACAAAAAAAGATGTCAATCCCAACCAGCCACGATGGCTCACACCTGTAATCTCAGCACTTTGGGAGGCCAAGGCAGGCGGATCACTAGAGGGTCGGGGGTTCAAGACCAGCCTGGCCAACACGGTAAAACCCCACTCTACTAAAAAAAAATACAAAAATTAGCCAGGCATGGTGGCACACACCTGTAATCCCAGCTACTTGGGAGGCTGAGTCAAGGGAATCACTTGAACCCAAGAGGAAGAGGTTGCAGCAAGCCAAGATTGCACCACTGCACTCCAGCATGGGCAACAGAGCAAGACTCCACCAAAAAAAAAAAAAAAAAAAAAAAGATGTCAATCCTAAAGTGACCCAGATGGTGGAATTATAGAAGACTTTGAAGCATCTACTATAACTATGAGCCATGAGGCCAAAGTAAACACATTTGAATGGATGGAAATGATGTGGAATGAATGGAAAAACAGATGTCTCTGCAGAGAAACAGAAACTATTTTTTAAAATACCACAAGGAACTGGAGAAACAAGAACAAACTAAAACCTAACTTAGTGGAAGAAATAACAAAGATCAGAGCAGAACTAAATGAAATTAAAGCAAGCAAATAAAAAAGATGAAAATGAAACAAAAAGCTGGTTCTTTGAAAAGATAAAGAAAATTGATAGACTATTAGCAAGATTAACGAAGAAAAGAAAAGAGAAGATCCAAATAAGCTCAATTAGAAATGGAACTGGAGACATTACAACCTATACCACAGAAATACAAAAAGATCATTCAAGGCTGCTATGAACACCTTTACTTGCACAAACTAGAAAATCTAGAGGAAATGGATAAATTCTTGGAAACATACAACCCTCCTAGATCAGTTCAGACAGAAACAGAAACCCTGAACAGACCAATAACAAGCAGCAAGGTTGAATTAGTAATATAAAAAAATAGCCAAGAACAAAAAAGTCCCAGACCAGATGGATTCACAGCTGAATTCTACCAGACATTCAAAGTAGTAGTACCAATCCTATTGAAACTATTCCAAAACACAGAGAAAGAAGGAATCTTCCCTAAATCAGTCTATAAAGCCAGCATTACACTTATAACAAACCCAGGAAAGGCCACAACAAAAAAAGAAAACTACAGACCAGCATCCCTGATGAACACAGATGAAAAAATCTTTAACAAAACACGAGCTAACGGAATCCAACAGCACATCAAAAACAGAATACATTATGAACAAGTGGATTTCATCCCAGGGATGCAGGGATGGTTTAACATATGCAAGTCAATAAATGTGATACATCACATAAACAGAATTAAAAACAAAAACCATATAACCATCTCAATAATGCAGAAAAGGAATTTGATAAAATCCAACACCACTTTATTATAAAAACCCTCAACAAAATAGGCATAAAAGGAACATACCTCAAAGTAGTAAAAGCCACATATGACAAACCCACAGCCAACATCATGTTGAATGGGGAAAAGTTGAAAGCATTACCCCTGGGAACTAGAACAAGACAAGGATGCCCACTTTCACCACTGCTATTCAACATAGTACTGGAAGTCCTTGCCAGAGCAATCAGACAAGACAAAGAAATAAAAGGCATCCAAATTGAAAAAGAGGAAGTCAAACTGTTGCTGTTTGCAGATAATAGGATCGTATACTAGAAAACCCTAAATATTCATCCAAAAAGCTCCTAGATCTGATAAACAAATTCAGTAAAGTCTCAAGTTACAGAATCAATGTACACAAATTAGTAGCTCTGCTATACATCAACAATGACCAAGCTGAGACTCAATCAAAACACAATCCCTTATACAATAGCTGCAAACAAATGAATAAATAAAATACCTAGGAATATTTTAACCAAGAAGGTGAAAGATCTCTACAAGGAAAACTACAGAACACTGGTTAAAAAAATGACACATACAAATGGAAACACATTCCATGTTCATGGATGGGAGTAATCAATATTATGAAAATGACCATTCTGCCCAAAGCAATCTACAGATTCAATGCAATTCTCATCCAAATACCAGCATCATTCTTCACAGAACTAGAAAAAAAAATCCTAAAATTCATATGGAACCAAAAACGAGCCCATACAGCCAAAGGAAGACTAAGCAAAAAGAACAAATCCGGAGGCATCACATAACCCAACTTCATACTATATTACAAGGCAATAGTTACCAAAACAGCATGGTACTGTTATAAAAATAGGCATGTAGGCCAATGGAATGTAAGGCCCAGAAATACTTAAAATACTTAAAATCATCTTCAAGAAAGCATATAAAAATATAAATTGGGGAAAAGATACCGTATTCAATAAATAGTGCTGGGAAAACTGGCAAGCCACATGTAGAAGATGGAACTGAATTCCTATCTCTCACCTTCTATGAAAATCCACTCAAAATGGATCAAAGACTTACATCTAAGACCTAAAACTATAAAAATTCTAAAGGATAACATCGAAAAATCTCTTCTGGACACTTTGACTTAGGCAAAGAATTCATGACTAAGACCCCAAAAGCAAATGCAACTAAACCAAAAATTAAAAATAGAACCTAATTAAACCAAAAGGCTTCTGCACTGCAAAATAATCAACAGAGTAAACAGACAATCTACAGAGTCGGAGAAAACATTCGCAGACTATGCATCTGACAAAGGACTAGTATCCAGAATCTACAAGGAACTCAAACAAATCAGAAAAAAAAAAAAAATCAAAAAGTCAGCAAAGGATATGAGTAGACATTTCTCAAAAGAAGGTATGCAAACAGCCAACAAATATAAGAAAAAAATGCTCAACATCACTAACCATCAGAAAAATGCAAATTAAAACCACAGTGAGATGCTACCTTACTCCTGCAAGAATGGCCATAACTTAAAAGTCAAAAAACAATACATGCTGGCATGGATGTGGTAAAAAAGGGAACACTTTTACATTGCTGGTGGGAATGCAAATTATTACAACCACTATAGAAAACAGTATGGAGATTCCTGAAAGAACTAAAAGTAGAGCTACCATTCAATCCAGCAATCCCACTACTGGGTATCTATCCAAAGAAAAATAAGTCATTATATGAAAAGTTATACACACATACACAAATGTTTATAGCAGCACAATTTGCAGTTCAAAGATATGGAACCAATCTAAGTGACCACCAACCAACGAGTGGATAAAGAAAATGTGCCATATTATATACGTATACACCATGGAATACCCTTCAGCCATAAAAAGTAATAAAATAATGTCTTTTGAAGCAACTTGGTTGGAGCTGGAAGCTATTATTCTAAGTGAAGTAGCTCAGGAATGCAAAACCAAATATCCTATGTTCTCACTTATACGTGAAAGCTAAGCTACAAGGATGCAAAGGCATAAGAATGATATAATGGACTTTGGGGACTCAAGGGGGAAGGT